TCCCCAGTGTATATTTCTGCACTGTTCAGAATTTGTACCATCTTGGGACATGAAGTAATACAACTGTTGAATGTAACCTTGGGCAAAGTTCTCAAGATTTTCAGATTCAGACCCTTTATGCTCTTAAAAATTACTGAGGAAAGGGCTGTGAATGTGGTTCAGAGGGAAACACTTAGCTAGCATGAACGAGGCCCAAGGTTTTATTCCAGGCACTGAAAAATAATTAAAAAATAATAAATAAACCATTAAGGAGCACAAAGAGCTTGGTTTGTGTGGCCTAAATCTACTGATATTTCCTGTACTAGAAGTTGAAATTGAGATCAGGCATGGTGGCGCACGCCTGTCTCCTAGCGTCTTGAGAAGCCATGGCAGGAGGATCACAAGTTTGAGGCCACTACGGGCAGGTGTTCAAACAAAAACGTGTACACAAATGTTTATAACAGCTTTATCACAGTGATGAATTCTCATTTTTTCATTTTTCTTTTGTTGCTTGTACTTAGAGTTTAAGGAACTATTCACAAAAGGTAGAAACACCCAAATAGATGTCTATCAAAAGATAGCTGGTTAAACCAGATGTGGTATTTCTACATAATGGTAGATCATTCAGGTATAAGAAGGAATGAAGCTGGGGGCAGTGGCGCATGCCTGTAATCCTAGCAGCTTGGGGAGGGAGGCTGAGGCAGGAGGATTGTGAGTTCAAAGCCAGCCTCAGCAATACAGAGGCGCTAAGCAACCGTGAGACCCTGTCTCTAAATAAAATACAGTATAGGGCTGGGGATGTGGCTCGGTGGTCAAGTGCCCCTGAGTTCAATCTCTAGTTCCAAAAAAAAAAAGAAAAGAAAGGAAAAAAGAAGGAAGGAAGTAGCCCGATGCTATGTTATGCCTGTGTGTGGCCTGAGTGTGTGTCCTAGCTCCCTGGGAGGATCACTTGAGTTATGGGTTTGAGACTAGCCTGAATACCATAGTGAGACCCAGTCTCAAAAAAAAAAAAAAAAGAGAGAAAAAAAGAATAACATGCTGATAGATGTTTCAAGGCCTAGATGAACCTTGAAAGCATATGTTAAGTGAAAGAAGCCAGACACAAAAGGCCACACACAGGGGACTGTGGATATAGCTCAGTTGGTGGAGTGTTTGCCTCACATGCACAAGGCCCTGGGTTCAATCCCCAGTACCCAAACATACATACATACATACATACATACATACATAAAGGCCACACAGGATATGACTTCATCGTTGTGACATATTCAGAATAGGCATATCAGTGGAGACAGCAGATTAGTGGTTGCTGGGGATGGGAGAATGGGGAGTGACTGCTTCATTGTGTAACAGGTATGGGGTTTTCATTTAGGCTGATGAGAAAGTTCTGGAACTAGATGGTGGTGGTTGCAGAGCATTGTGAATATACTTCATGTGACCAAGTTGTAGACATAAAACAACTGGTAAATTGTCATGTATATTTAATAAAACAAAAAAGTGTCTTGGTAAACCCCTCACCTCACTCCTTCAGAACCAACGGTAGTTATAGTAGTCTAATAATCCACTTCAGGCAGATAATGGATAATTGATACTTTGATGGCTGTTACCTTGGGCTGAGCCAGACTATGGAGAACTGATCCTACTTAGGATTAAGAGTGTGTTGCCTGACATCCTGGATAAGCATTGCTTCCTTATTAGTAGTATCCCAATTAATTTGAAATCCTTTAGGAGAGCAAGCAGGTTAATTGTGCAATACTTTTGAATTTGATGTAGAAAGCAGTTCTTGCTAAATCAACTGTTTATGTACACCTGCCCTCATACCCAAGGGCTTTATCTTTGAGCTACATCACGAGTCCTTTTTTATTTTGAGACCTCACTAAGTTACTGCGGGTCTTACTAATTCTGAGGCTGGCCTCACACTGTGATCCTCCTGCCTCAGCCTTCCATTGCTGAGATTACAGGCATGTGCCACCTATGCCCAACTCTACTTTCTTTTCTTTTTTTTTGCTTCTGGTGCTGGGGATGGAACTCAGGGTCTTACACATGCTAGACAAGTGCTCTACCATGGAGCCAGCTCACCAGCCCCTCACTTTCCTTTTAAGACAGATAGTGAGGACAGAGAAATGTACCAACGAAAGTAATTCATGTACAGATTCTGTTTTCTTGTTTGGGGGGTTCCTTTTTGACCTGCGATGACTCTTGCAGTGGATGTCTCTGACTTCTGAGATAAATTTCTCATTTTTTTTTATTGTCTTTCTGATCATTTCACAATTTGGGGCTGTAATAAGATTTATTCTGTATCAGCTCAGAACTGGTATTTGGAGCTGACTTAGTGTGGTTGGATGCCCCACTTACCTTTCACCTTGGTGAGGTTTCACTGTGTCCTCTGAAAATAGGGACAGTAAAAGGGTTGTTTATACAGACTATCTTAACTTCTAATGGTAGAGGAAGATTTGGGCACGGTGGGTCTCATGATTAAAAACATCCCCCATATCACTCTGTTTTTCCTTTTAGTGGTGCTTGTGGAGAGGTAAAGCTGGCTTTTGAGAGGAAAACATGTAAGAAAGTCGCCATAAAGATCATCAGCAAAAGGAAATTTGCTATTGGCTCTTCGAGAGAGGCAGTAAGTACCTGGGTTTCTGGCTGGGTAGCTCTGCTTTTTCTTTTTTTTGATACTGGGATTGAACCCAGGGGTGTTTGACTGCTGAGCCACATCCCCAGCCCTTTTTATCTTTTATATTGACACAGGGTCTGGCTAAGTTGCTGAGGCTGGCTTTGAATTTGCGATCCTCCTGCCTCAGCCTCCCGAGATGCTGGGATGACAGGCGTGCGCCCTTGCGCCCAGCTGCAGCTTTTTATAGCTTCTTCATAACATCCCCCAAATCATTGTGAGATGACTGTTTTCAGTCTCAGGAACAACTGACTGCTCAGACAGTAATTTGTGATTGTCAAAGAACATTGAAAAATTTAAGCATCTTTTGATTAATCTAGAAATTGTTACTTATAGATAATTTTGTTCCAATAATTTTTTATTGTTTATTCCAGTTCAAAGTTGTTGCAAGATTGTTTTTACCATATTTGAAATTAGAGAGTGACTGTTACAGTCTTATAGCTGTTTTCAGTTTTCCTTTCTCTTCTTTCTTGGTTCATATGAATTCATGTTTCTCAGTGGTTCAATTGTGTAGTATTCAGCTGGGTATTCTGCTTTTCCATGAATGCAGGATAGCATAGACTTTTCCCTTAGCACATTCATCCCTTGTGATAACTGACTCTTCATTTCATCAACTTTTTTTTTTTTTTTTTGGTGCCAGGGATTGAACTTGGGGGCACTCGACCACTGAGCCACATCCCCGGCCCTATTTTGAATTTTATTTAGAGACAGGGTCACTGAGTTGCTCAGGGCCTCGCCCTTGTTGAGGCTGTCTTTGCACTTGCAATTCTCCTGTCTCGGCCTCCCAAGTTTCTGGGATTATAGGCATGTGCCATTGCTCCTGGCTCATTTCATCAGCTTCTATCCTGATTTTTACTTTTGGTGTGCAGTCCTTTCAAAGGGTTAATTAAGCTACTCTTCTTTTTTTTTTTAATATTTGTTTTTAGTTGTACATGGACACAATATCTTTATTTTTATTTATTTATGTTATGAGGTGCTGAGGATTGAGGGCCTTGCGTGTTCAAGGCAAGCACTGTACCACTGCGCTACAATCCCAGCCCCTAATTAAGCAACTCTTATGTTCATAGGACAAATGAAAATTATTGAGGGTTATAGGGTTCTAATGAGAAATTAAAATAAAAACCTCAGAAAACCTCAGTGTGAGCCTGTCACGAGTGCTACACTCCATTCTGACCACTGATTTTGACAACAGAGGTCAAAAATGTAAAATCCCCAGCAACCTCAAAATAATGTATCATTGTGGCTCATTCTACAAATTGGTGATCTTCTTTCTGACTCCAAGTTTTGAAGTATAAAAAACCAGGAGGCAAAGAGCAGTAGCAGTGTATGTGTTTACCCAAGGCTGGTTTTTTACCCACGCCTTTCCCACCTCGTGTGACCCAGAAGGTACTGGGGTTGTCCAGTGTCTGCAGAAGAGCAGCAAGGGATGTGCAGATGTGCTTTGCCTCCTTTAACTTGAAGATGGGAGGCTGTGAGGAGGACTCTGTAAGGTGCTCTGGATGATCCTGGGGACAGATTTGTAGACTTTGTCAAAGTCATCCACAAAGAAGGAGCTGTCCCAACTTATGATGATTTACTCAGTCGTTTCTCTGGTTGGTCATTTAGGTAATTCCTAGTTGTTTGCTCTTTTGGGTAATGTGCCAGTGAGTATCTTGTTATTTATGGGTTAGTTTTAAATTTATTTTTCCTTTTTTTTTTAATGTATTATTTTTTTATTTAGCGAGAGAGAGAGAGAGAATTTTTTTTTAATATTTATTTTCTAGTTCTCGGCGGACACAACATCTTTGTTTGTATGTGGTGCTGAGGATTGAACCTGGGCCGCTCGCATGTCAGGCGAGCGCACTACCGCTTGAGCCACATCCCCAGCCCTTTTTTTCCTTTTTTTAAAAAGATATATTTTAGTTGTAGATGAACACAATACCTTTATTTAATTCATTTATTTTTATGTGGTGGGGATCGAACCAAATGCCTCACACATGCTAGGTAAGTGCTCTATCTCTGAAGCTATATCCCAGCTCTGAGTTTCATATTTTTAAATTTTAAAATATTGAAATTATTTCTCCATAGTAGCTATTCATTTAAATTTTTTTAAAAAATAATTTTATTTTATTTATTCATTTTTTATATGGTGCTGAGGATTGAACCCAGTACCTCACACATGCTGGGCAAGTGCTCTACCACTGAGCCCCAGCCCCAGCCTAGTAGCTATTCATTTTATTACATTTTCTGCAGTCCACATTCACTGTAGAGGTGAAGTAGCCAAATACATTGATTGATCTGTCCACATGTGACTGGACAAAGTGATAGAAAAACAGCCCCTAATAATATTTTTCTTTGTGGTCAATTGTTTCTGGGTGGTCTTATTATTATTATTTGTAGTGCTGGGGATTGAACCTAGGGCCTTGTGCATGTGAGGCAAGGACTTTACCCAACTGAGCTCTATCCCCAGCCCCTGGGTATTATATTTTAACATTCTTTAAAGATCTTTTTCTTCCCCTGGAGACAATGCTGTTCTTGCATAGCAAGAGGAATTTCCTTTCTGTGTTCCCTTTGTTATGGATCTTTTCCCTTGTGATTCTAGATTTGCTTCCCATTTTGGGGAGAAGAAAATATCTACCAGATTGTTAGAACTGAGAGTAAAATTTTACTTCTTAGTTTCATTCTTTGAGTCAAATTGGACTCTTCGTGACCTCTCTCTTTTCAGAGTATGTACACCCTGGTGTGGTAATGAGTAATGGATTACAGGAAGAGGCAGGCTTTAAAAATTAAACATCTGGGATTTCTTAGCAGAAGTCCATTCTACATAAATATGTCACTTTATATCCTCTTTAATTGTGGAGGGTGTAACCTGGGAAGTGGGGTTATTTAACTCAACTTGCTCTCTAATTTTGCGGGGGATGGGATGGGACAAGGTCTCACCATGTTGATCAGGTTGGCCTTGAATTCCTGGGCTCCAGCAGTCTTCCTGCCTTAGCTTCCTGAATAGCCGGGGCTGTCTGGCTTCTCTCCAGTGAACATTGTCAGCTTATGGTTGAAGTTGGAACTTTTGTCTGCTCAGAAATTTTACCTGACATTTTTTTCATACAGTTTCATTAAACATCTGCTTCTTCATGGACTTCATTTCTTTCTTTCTTTCTTTATTTTCTTCTTCTTTTTTTTTTTCTTATCAGGGCTGAACCCCAATTTTTACTTTTTATTTTGAGACAGGGTCTCACTAGGTTGGTTAAGGCTCACTAAGTTGCTGAGGCTGGCTTTGTGCTCATGATCCTCCTGAGCCAGTAGGATTACAGGTGTGTGCCATCACACCCGGCTCTTTCATCATCTTTTTTTTTTTTTAATTTTTTTTTTGTAGTTGTTGATAGATCTTTATTTTATTTATTTATACATGGTGCTGAGAATCGAACCCAGTGCCTCACACATGCCAAGCATATGCGCTACCGCTGAGTCACAGCCCCAGTCCCCATCATTTTTAAAAAATATTTTTTAGTTGTAGTTGGACACACTACCTTTATTTTATTTATTAATTTTTGCGTGGTGCTGAGGATTGAACCCAGCGACTTGCATGTGCTAGGCAAGCACTCTATCGCTAAACCACAACCCCAGCCCCTCTGTCATCATTTTTATAAATGTAAATAACTCCATAGTTAATGAGATAAGTATAGCTTACTGGCTACTGGTTACAGATGGAAACACATTTCTCTGGCAGTGGAACTATGGGTAATGTCTTTCCTTTATTTTTTTAATAAAAAATAAAGGGAAGACATTACCCACAATATCTTTATTTATTTTTATGTGGTGCTGAGGATTGAACCCACTGCCTCACACATGCGAGACAAGTGCTCTACCACTGAGCTACAGCCCTAGCCCATGTCTTCTCTTTTCTGAACCCTAGTTGCTCCATTTGTAAGATGGGGGTAATTATAGAATCCTCTTCAGTTGAGGATTATGAGGCTTATGTGAGATGATTCGAATGAATAAAGAGCTTAGCACAGGGCCTGGGCATTTATTGAATGCTTATAATTTGCGAAGCACTTTGCAGAATGATTTTAGGTGAGTTATTTAATTCATTGTATTTTGGGTCTGGGTTTCTTTGTATTAAATACAGCCTGGTTTGGATCTCAGGCAGTCAATTAAGTATAACCGTAACATTTTTAAAATATTGGCCATTATTGTTATTATTAGTAAACTCTAATGTTTTTCTGTTTATTAAAGGATCCAGCTCTCAATGTTGAAACTGAAATAGAAATCTTGAAAAAACTAAATCATGTAAGTATTGCTGTAAGACATGGCTCATATTTAAATTCATTTATCTCTAAATATGGAAGAATATCCTCCTCCTCCTCCTCCTCCTCCTCCTTCTTCTTCTCCTCCTCCTCCTACTCCTCTTCTTCCTCCTCCTCCTCCTCCTCCTCCTCCTCCTCCTCCTCCTCCTCCTCCTTCTTCTTCTTCTCTTGCCCACACTGGTCTCTTGAACTCCTGGGCTCAAACCTTCCTCCTGCCTCATCCTCATGAGTGCTGAACTGCATATGTGTGCCACCCTGCCTAGCCTGACTTATTCTTTTTTTTTTTCCATTTTTTAGTTGTAGATGAACACACAGTATCCTTATTTATTTCTGTGTTGTACTGAGGATCGAACCCAGTGCCTCACACATGCAAAGCAGGAGCTTTACCATTAAGCTACAGCCCCAGCCCCCTGAGTTATTCTTGTAGAGAAATAAAATAAAATTATTCTATCTTATAGAGAATTGATCAACTGATTATGTTTGCAAAGACAATGCTAATTTTAGTAAATTTAATAATACCTGAATTTTTAAAATATTTATTTATTTGGGTGGTAGTAGGGATTGAACCCATGGCTTTATTTTATTTCATTTATTTTAGGTTACTGGGGATTGAACCAAGCAGCACTCAACCCCTGATCCCCATCCCCAGCCCTATTTTGTATTTTATTTAGAGACAGGGTCTCACTGAGTTGCTTAGCGCCTCACTTTTGCTGAGGCTGGCTTTGAACTCATGATCCTCCTGCTTCAGGTTCCGGAGCTGCCAGAATTACAGGCGTGCACCACCATGCCCAGCCCAACCCAAGAGTTTTACACATGCTTGGCAAGCATTGTGCCATTGAGCTCCATCCCCGGCCGGTTTTTTGTTTGTTTGTTTGTTTGTTTTTGTTTAGTTGTAGATGGACACATATCTTTATTTTATTTGTTTATTTTTATATGGTGCTGGGGATCAAATTCAGTGCCTCATGCATACTAGGCAAGCGCTCTGCCCACTGAGCCACAACCTGGCCTGATCCTCAGCCCTTTTTATTTTTTATTTTGAGAGAAGCTCTTCCCAAGTTTCCCAGGCTGGCCTTGAACTTGTGATCCTGTTTCCTTAGCCTCTTGAGTAGCTGGAATTATAGGTGTGTGCCACTGTGCCTGGTTATACCTGAAGTTTTAACACCTTAAAATACATTTTATTTGGAGTGACCCAGATAAATCAAATAATGACAACATCCTATCCTTATATCTGATAAAAGTGGTGTGTCAGTCGCCTCTTTGGGTATAGATAGTTCCCTCTTTTGTACAATGATGACGTTGTCTCGATGAAGACTTTGGCTCAGTGTCAGCGGAAGGTGTGTCTCACTTGAAAAAGGTGAGAAGAAAAATTAGAATGTGGTCTGATCCTGCTTTTCTTTTTATTGGTTCTTTCAGTTTCCTCATTAATTCATGAGCATCATCCATGTCATAAGCTCAGTAGTCCCTGCACTTGAAACAAATCCTGTATTCTGTCTACTGTTTGACTATGATCATCTTATTCTGGTTTTTATTCTCTAAACAACAACAAAATTTCTTTCCTTATACCTCCCCAAATTCCTCAAAG